GCTACAGTTTTTAAAGTTAGCTTTAAACCTGTTTTTAAATATCTTTTCCTGTCCACCAACATTCCTCTTTCTGTTCTTGAGTTTGGAGTATATTAACTGCTTTGGGAGACCATGATCGGGCATTTGGACAACATGACCAGTCCAGCGAAGTTGATGGTGTAGGAGCATTGCTTCAGTGCTAGTGGTCTTTGCTTCTTCCAGCATGCTGACGTTTGTCCGCCTGTCTTCCCAAGAGATTTGTAGGATTTTTCGGAGGCAACACTGATTGACTTGTTCAATGAGTTGAGTGTAACATCTATAGACAGTCCATGTTTTGCAGGCATATAACAAGTTTGGAAGGACAATAGCTTTATAAGCAGGCACCTTGGTATCCGTACTGATGTCCCGGTCCTCAAACGCTCTCTGCACATAAATAGATAAATACAAAAATAAAAGGTACAGTTATTGAGGTTTGAAGCAGTTTTATGCAGAAGCTGCTATGAAGAGAGTACACTGATGGTTACTACTAGCCAATTGTGTGATTGTTGCCCCATTTTCTCAAGTATTGAAGTGCTGCATGCATGGTTGGCAGTGAGAAGCTCATACATTCTTTGGCTTCCTGCCTTCTCCAAGCCTCTAAGGAGTGAGAACCTTACATCATTACTATACATAATTAAAGTACTATCAATTTATTGCATACTGTTTCATGTCTCAATCGTGATGCCAGACCTTTATTATTCCATCCTACTTAGGCGTCTATCAAAGGGGCTGCGATAGACAGGTGTCCCAATGTATTTGCTATGACATTGGCCCCCAACTTGGAGCTCTCTACCTTTAGATGGACTTCAAGTCTTTATTAGTGTGGGTACAGTCCAAACCATTGGGCATGTATCGCACTGGGAAAGGCCATTTATGAATTAAGGAAGGCATTATTTTTTAGGAGAGTGGGGAGGTTTTGATTTGTTGAGGGAAGTGGAGAGTGATCCATAAACCTGGAAGTTGGTCTCACTGGTTTGCCTTACAAACAAGGCTATGTTAAGAATGGTTTGAAGCTCAAAAGTTTGTTGTATTGTAATGGTTTGTTGTGGTAGAGTTGCAACTAACTTTTACATACCGGTATATATGATGCAGATGTTTTTTTGTGGGAAAATATTGATGAAGATTGTAAGAGGGAGTTTCCCCATTTCTTGGCTGCTTTTTTGTGTAACCTCTTTCCATATATCAATACCTAAAATCTGCAAAGCCTACATACATTGTCTTGCTTTTTATTGGGGGCAGGGTGTGCTAAAAAAAAAAACCCTACAAAATTGTACAGATTTGTCATCTGTCCAATTTTTGTGTGTGTCAGAAGTGACTTGAGAAACTGCAAGTTGCTTCTGGTGTGAGAGAATTGGCCGTCTGCAAAGACTTTGCCCAGGGGACACCCGGATATTTGATGTTTTAGCATCCTTGTGGGAGGCTTCTCTCATTTCCCCACATGGGGAGCTGGAGCTGACAGAGGGAGCTCAACCCACTCTCCTCAGATTTGAATTGTCTGTCCAATGTGACATCCTTTTATTTCAAGATAAGAAAAGCTAAGACGTTCCTCCCCTTTTCCATTGCGTTCATAAACTTTCTGTCTTGAGTGCTAGTATTTAATTAATTAATTAGTTAATTAATGGGATTAATGAGGATTGATTGATTAATTTATGAGAAAATAAATAAAGATATATCCAGCTACAAACGTTTCTGTTTGGTTAGTCTCTCATTTCTAGAAGGGCAAACCCTATCATCAAGCTATGCAGCACAGATAAACCAATCAATATCAGTAGAATAATAATAATAATAATAATCATCATCATCATCATAATTCTTTATTTATACCTCGCCACCATCTCCCATATGGACTCAGGGCGGCTTGCAAAATAGCACACACAGATGCCATACATAAAACACATAATACATACAATAAAATACATCAACAGGAAAAAATAATTTTTTTTTTACATAAACCAGGTATATAAATAGGATTAAACAACCTCTATTGAAACAGAATCAGTTAAAAGATCCATGCAATCAATATAGCAGCCCAGCTGAATGCAAGTAATGTAAATACAAAGTGCTAAGTGATTGGCAATCAGTTCTGGTTACTGTCTAAACATTATCAAATGGCTGGATTGCTTTGAGTTTTCCGGGCTGTATGGCCATGTTCCACAAGCATTCTCTCCTGACGTTTTGCCCACATCTATGGCAGGCATCTTCAGAGTGATTCCAGCCATAAAAACCTTTGACGACAAATTTCAGTATGTCCCTGACCCTTCTGCTTGTAGAAGTCTAGGCCTTTGCATTTCACAGTCCACCTGAAATGTCCGTTGAATTCTGGGGACTTTAATCCAAAACATCTTCAAGGCATGAAGTTAATGAAGGCTTCATTTGTCTTACCTCCAGATCAGTATAGAAGAGAGTGTGTGATTCTCCTGCTCCCTGCTTTTTTCTCATTGTAGAAGGTAGGTTAGGTGGCAAAGAGAAAGTACATACAGATGTCTGAATGTCACCCAGTGAGTTTCAAGGCTTAGCACAGACTTAGCCTTATATGTCCCACATTAAACCTACACTATAGAATTAATGCAGTTTGACATCACTCTAACAGCTGTGGCTCAATGCTATAGAATCCTGGCATTTATAGTTTGGTGAGGCGCTAAAGACCTTGTAAAACTCAGCTTCTGTCGTGAAGCCATGACCCAGCTTCCAAACACAAATTGAAGAGAATAACAGAAGTTGGTAATCCGTTCCAAGATCCAAATGCCAATTTCTGCAGATAACAAAGTCCAAGGTCAATTCAAAATCCAAATGCGAAGGTCCAAAGTTCACAAATTCCAAGATCACCAACAGTCTGAGGCCATAGCTCCAAACACAGACATTGCTGCCAGCGACAAGAAGAAACCCCCCAAAAACCTGTATGTTAGGTTCTCAGGTGTTGCCTATTGATAGCTCGTTTTTCAGCTAATCAGTGGATCTACAAACCTGAGCCCTTTCCTGTCACAAAAGAGCTGGAACACTTGCTTGTTCTTGCTCTACAGGCTGAGAAGTAGTGGCTCTTCTTCCAAGCTCTGCTGAGGAAGCTACTGAGCACTGCTGAACTCCACTGTCCCTCCAACTTCCTCCTCACCCTCACTAGAAGAGCTGGATATGACAACCATGGTTCCACTATATTGAGCCATGGCCATAAAAGTAATGTTAAACTGAATTAATTCTACAATGTAGATGCAGCTCTAGTTTGACATTCTAACCACCGCACCACACTGCCTGCCAACTAAAGAACATTGTACTAGCTTTTGAGTATTCTTCAGGGGCAGCCCCTAAATAAAGTGCATTACAGTAGTCTATTCAAAAATAACTCTGACCAAGTTATTCCTGTACAGAAAAGGCTATAGAACTGATGAAACCATCAGAAGTGGGCTGTAGACTCTGAGCTTGCAATAACAGAGATAGATCAGTGAGTGTTTCCAGTCTTCCCCTTGCTGTGTATTTATAGTCCCATCTAGGGCAAGTCATGGACTTAGGAGCCCCCAGTTCACCAGCCCTCCATCTTAACTGGGATTGAGTTTCAGTTTATTGCCGTATTGCAGCATCAGGCCGCTGGTCCAGCACCTGTATAGCCCCGGGTGACCCTGGCAAAGAGAAGCAGAGTGAAAAATAGTAAGAGTTCAGTTATCTCCTCTAACCGCCCTCCATGAGTTTCTCATTTGCTGAGAATGTAATAAGAAAATGCCTAGTCAAATTGCTGTCTTCCTCTGTGTAAATACAGGTTTTCCCAACCCTCCTAAGTACGACGTTCTCCAGAAATTTTAGACACCATCAATTACAGCTGTTTAACTGGTGATTAAGAATAACGGGATGTTTCAGAAGTGCTGAGATAGCTGTATTTGCACAGACATATGTTGTTTTGAAGTAAAATACTCCAAAAGGTTTTAGAAATCGCCACTCGTTCTAGGAAGGTGGTTTTTCTCGAAGATTACGCCAGGCTTTGCCTGCAAATCATGAAGAACCAGAAGCTTCCTTTTATTTTTTTTTCTCTTGTTTCTAGTTTGGTTAGAGCAGGGGCTCCCAACCTGTTTTTTGACCAGCATCCACTTTGACCAGGGACCACTCTTCAACATTAGTACCAAAAGGGTTACGAATCAGTTTTGGGTCAACTTTAGATTCGGTTTGGTTATTTGGGGTGCTGATTCTGAAAATTGCATTGGATAGACCACATCAGCTCTAGTTTCTGATACAGAATATATGCCACCCAGTAGTCGCCATTTGCTCGCCTACAGAAAACCATATTTAATAATCTAGAGCTGGTGTGGTCTATCCAATGCAATTTTCTGAATCAGCACCCCAAATAACCCCAGGGCCTAAAAACAAAGACACCAAGGCACTCCCCACTTCCAGGTGCCACATGGAACAGCTCCATTCAGGGGGAGGACGAGAAGCAGCAGTCAAGAGGCTTGTTGTCATGCCTTTCATGGTTAGTCAGCCTTTCCCCTCGCAACATCCAGTTGCCTTGGCACTATAAGAGGGTTTGATGTGATAAGTCTCTTTCATCGCAACAGTGTAGTAATGGTGAGGCCGCAGACCATATTTTGGTTCTTGGGGACCACTGGTGGTCCATGAACCACAGGTTGGGAACCTTTGGATTAGAGGCACCTGAGTTCTAAATGCTCCTCCTTCAACTACACATCCCAGCATTCCTGAGACTACAGCCATGGCAGTGACTTGTGGTATGAAAGTGGTATAAAAGTGCTACAGTTGTGCTACGGTGTGAAAAACTCCAGTGCCCCAATGCACTGAATTTAATTTTGTTTAATGAGACAGATTTTATTGTGATTCTGTTTTCTTGCTAGTTTGAAAAATTAAAGGTATGTGAAGTAGGCACATCAGTTTGCGTGATAGCTGTGAGGCCATTACTGTTCATTGGTGTCTGCTAAGTTGCTTCATTGTGACCCTGAAGCCTCCTTTCTTATTCCCTTCTGGGCTCTCTCTGTCTTTCCCTGCAGGCACTTGGATGAGTCGCAACCAGAACCCTCCTGGTTCCATCACGAATGGCTTCCCTTCATCCTCTCCCAGCTCTGGCCCTTCAGCGGAGGACTGGAGCGAGAGTTTTCTGCCGTTTGTGGACAGCCTGACAGCAATGATTGCGACTCGTAGGAAAAAGCTGGGCGGGAGGCCCTTGGCCGACACACGAGGGGGGACTATCAAGGTGGACCTCCCCAATCAGCAGAGGACGGTGGTGAGTGAGCCATTCCTATGGACAAGGGACCATTTGCCTTATACTTGTATTCTAAACCCAAGCTGAGAGTCGTGCAGGTCTCCAGGTAGTGGTGGACCACAACTCCCAGCAGCCAGTATAGCTATTGGTGAGGAATGCTAGGAACTGCTATTCTGACAACATCTGGGAGCCATGCCATTTCTGCGGAGTGATATCAAAGTGCTGTAACTGTGTAGTGTGCCTGCAGTATTTATCTAAGTATAGTCATTTAGTGATGAGAGACAAACTCATCAGAAACTATATAAATAAAAATGTAATGTTTGTTTGTGGGATTAACATAACTCAAAAACCACTGGACAAATGGACACCAAATTTGGGCACAATACACCTATCAGGCCAACAAGTGACTATCACTCATAAAAACACTGAAAAACACAACAGAAGGGACTTAAAAGGCAAAAAAAAATACATTACAGCACATGCGCAAAACCACATATATACACATATACACAATTATATACACACACATATACAAACACAATATACACAGACTGGGCCACAGCATGCATGCGCAAAACCACAAATATATATATACACCCACATATACACGAACATAAAACACATATACACAGACTGGGCCACAGCAACGCGTGGCAGGGGATGGCTAGTATGTTATAAGTTCATTGAGTCAGAGGTGAAACACTATAGTTACCCTGTTTCTCTGAAAAAAAGACACCCCCTGAAAATAAGACCTAGTAGAGGTTTTGCTGAATTGCTAAATATAAGGCCTCCCCCTGAAAGTAAAGCCTAGCAAAGTTTTTGTTTGGAGGCATACTCCCCCTAGTGGCCGAAAGCTGCAGTACCATCCCTTCTGTTCAAGTGGTCCAGGAACTGCTGTGGGAGATCCTTACAGTCTCCAGACATTGTGTGGGAACCAGGTACTTTACAGCCCTTATTTTTTTTGGCCCTGTTTGTGAGGGCCAGTATATTTATTATATGCTGACAGCTACTGTACAGTATATAATAAATGTTCAATTTTTTTGTTTAACAATAAATGTGAATTCTTCATGGAAAAAAAAATAAGGCATCCCTGAAAATAAGACCTTGCACATCTTTGGGAACAAAAATTAATATAGGACACTGTCTTATTTTCGGGAAACCAGGGTACATTCGAACCAGACCTACATAATCTAAATGCTGACATTTCAAAACTGATGGTTTTGACTTTGAAATTCAGCCTCGACATTTGATAAAGCGTTATCTGTAGCACGTGATCCATCCCGTTGATTGACTTTTTAGGCAATCGGACATCTAGAATGGAAATGCCTTAAGCTGCCAACTATCAAATACCATCACAGCTCCAACTAGGGTCGTTAAATGTTCTGTACTGTTGCATATCAGCTGTCAAATCGACTAAACATTATTTTTGTCAGCTGTCAAATCATATAAAAACAAAAGCAAATGTCCAAGGTTGATATAAAAGATGTCTTTATATCAAATATTCACACTGCACACAATTAAGCTTTGCAACTTTAAGGCACAAGGCAGAGATATGGCTGCCAGCTTGGATTAGGTAAATCCATGGAGATTGGGGCAATCTGTAACTGCTAGTTGGGATGGGAATGTGTCACCGTCTGTGTTAGAGGCCATGTGCCTTTGTGTGTTTTTGTGGAACGTGTAATTAAACGTGTGTCTTGCTGGAAGAAATATTGTGGGCAATCAACCAGTAAATGGCCTGATCCAACATAGCTGCTCTTTTGTTTTCATGTTCTTGTCAGCACAAGCAATATTGGAGATATTTCAGCAAATCCCAGGTCAGGCATTTTATTGACCCAATACCCAAAGTGACCTGCTGCCATCTACTGTATTTCAAGGCAGTTCTTGGTAGGGTTGCCAGATGGAAAACTAGAGGAAGCTGCGATAGCTTTAATAGTTATGTAGAAGAGGAAAATTCAGCGGATCTTGCTTATCATGTAAGCAAGCAACACTTGGTGACTTTTCTACACAACCATCAAAGGTACAGGAGACATCTCCAGTTTTCGCTCCAATGACCCTAACTTTTAAATGTTGAGCCATGAGTCAAGAAATACTTGTTGCTGATGCAAAATTCTCATCCAGACTGAAAGTATATTGTAGCTCTTCCTGTCCAGGAGGGTACAGTGGCCAGGCTGAGTGAGAATGGCTAATCCAAAAACCACTTTCATAGCAAGCAATGGTTCTTATAGTTTTTAAGTTAGGCTACCCTTTGGAGAGTCCAAAGATCTTCAATCCTGATAGAATGGGTGAAATTTGCGTTCAGATCTAAAGTCTGCTCTTTGATCCACTGTCCAGTAGTGGCTCTTCTTCAGCATGGATAGGATAATGCAGAAGGTTGAGGGAATAGGACACATATTACAGCCAGATAGCAGCTGGGACAAGAGCAAATACTAGAAGGTCAGTTTGACAGCCACTTTGCCCACATACATCCTCTTCCCTTCTTCCTCTCAGGTGAATGTCCGGCCAGGTACAACCGTCTACAACTCCTTAGATAAGGCTCTGAAGGTGCGTGGCCTCAACCAGGACTGCTGTGTTGTCTACAAGAAAGCTGGTGATGGGTGAGTATTGATGGAGAAGCAGGACAAGGACTGGAGCAAAGGATTATCAGGAGAGATGGCTGTGGAGGGGCTTCTTCAACTCTCAAAATGTTGCATCATAGGGCCCTTCTACACTGGCATCCTGAAGCTAGCTTGCGGTCAGGGTATTTACAATGCGTACACCCCCAATACAAATCTAGCTGGAAACAACACAGTAAGGGAAGCCAAACTTGAAATTCCAGATCAAGACATGAATTCTGCTGAAGCACATCTGTGTATGAACAATGCACAGGAGGATGCCAAATACGGAGTTCTTATTTAGACAGGGCTAATGCTGCAGCAGACAGAGTAAGAAGCCAGATACAGAAGGTAAACAAACACCTTCGCCTGGAAAGGAAGCCGTAGCATTCCCATGGGAATGCCATCTCTTGCCTTGCTTTACTGCAGTCAAGTGCTGGAAAACTGTTTTTTACCTGTGCTTCCCACCAGATGAGATGGAGGGCAGGGGGATTATGTGAATCGTCTTGATAAGTACTCCATGGATCTTTGTGGTCACTGTTCCATTGTCCAACCGGATCACAGGCCACCTATGTAGGCACTCCGAAGCAAACTGGATATCTTAAATCCACAACCTGACCTGGATTAAATGGCTGTGTAGAAGCAGCCGTAGATCAAATTTGCTGTTGGTTCACTATTATGTGTCGCTAATCAATGACTGTTCAAGCCAGACAGTTAAGCATGAAGGCAGTATACCAATGAATCAAAAGTCCAAAAGATTATCTTTTCTTGGAATAAAATTACCAAAATTGCCCAGCCAGCATGGCCTCTTAAGTCCTCTGGTTGGTGGTTATGCTGTCTGAAACCTTCTAGAAGTTGTAGTTTAAAACACTATGTTTCTGAACCCTATTATTAATAACAGGTGCAGTGTGGCAACAGCATGGTAAGTTGTTGCAAGCTGCTCATAAGCATCAAACTCGAAGAAGTCCAATTCAGCTAATTATATTTCTGCCTCTACTTTTGTTACTGCTCTGATGGTGGTCCAGCCACATGCAAAGATGTTTCCCCACTTGTCCTCCTGGCTTATTCCCAAACTGTATGAAGGGCACACAATACCCTTCAGTGGTCTTTTTATTTATTTATTGGTTTATTTGTTTGTTTATTTTCAGTACTTATATTCCGCCCTTCTCACCCCAAAGGGGGCTCAGGGCAGATCACAGAACACATATATTGCAAACATTCAATGCCGATTATACAATGGCAAGACAGACAATAGATAGAGGTGTGTTTAGGCTTTTTCTCATAATTCGGCATCTTTTGGAGGCTATGCTTGGTTCCGGCCACAGGGGGGTGCTGTCACTCCATTTCCTTGCCGAAGAGTTTTCTTTGTTTGTAAACTTTTCTCTGAAGTGCCATGCCTAAAATACCTCCCCACTTAATTCGGTTCCTATTCATCTCCTTACATTTCTGTTTTCCGTCCAGTAGGTGGACTGAAAGTCAGGAGCTCACCCTGACCCGGCTTTGAGCTGTCAGCCTTTTGGTTGGCAAGATTTACTGCAACTGCAGCTGGTGATTAACCTACTGCCAGCCCATTAAATTGGGGTATGGAAAAGAGCCGAGGACCATCCTTTGTACATAGCATTCTGTACTGTGGGTGAAACAATCTGTTCATTTTGTTTTCTCTTGTATTTAGATTAAAAAAATTGAGTTCTTTCCATTTTGAATATGGACATATTTGTCACATGTAGTAGGTTCTTACCATAGCAGAACTCATCCACCCGCACAGGTTGAAATGTTCATAGCTGTTCCCACCACATGTTCTACCTCTTTGCCATTGAGCTATTTAAGATTAAGAAGCCTATCAGAAAAAAAGTTGGCAACTTTCATTCAGCACTAAAATGGTACATGAATCCAGAGATACAGGGTCAGATGTTCAGAATAGCACTTAAAGCCCTAGGGCTAGGTGAACAAAATCAGTTCATTTTGGTTTCCGGCATAGCTCTTTAAAAGAACCCTTGTCATCCTAAATGTGGAAAAATGTACATTTTGGGGGGGGGGGGGAACCTTAATTTTAAAAATAGAAACTGCAACAAATTTGAACCAGTGTAATATTTTATTTATTTTAAAATAAATGTATTCTGCTACGCATTTCAAACACTGCCATGTTAGTGGGTTGCTGTGAGTTTTCTGGGCTGTATGGCCATGTTCCAGAAGCATTCTCTCCTGATGTTTCACCCATGTATATGACAGGCATCTTTCAGAGGTTGTGAGGATGCCAGCCATAGATGTGGGTAAAACATCAGAAGAGAATGCTTCTGGAACATGGACATACAGCCAGGAAAACTCACAGCAACCCAGTGATTCCGGCTATGAAAGCCTTCGACAACACATGGCCATGTTATTCTGTTGAAACAAAACATAACACAGTCTTGTATCAGTGTGTGTGTGTGTGTATACACACACACATACTCTCTCACATCCACACACAGGTTGGGGTGCAGGATGCTCACTGTAGAATCACCCCAAGAGTCTTAGAGAGAACGTTTTAGTGAAATCTGCAAAAGGTACAAATGTGGAGGACCAAGTGTATGCTGTTTTGCTCTGGAATTTATTTTGATGGACTGTGCATGTTCTTGTGGAACGGATGTGGTCAAGCAGGCTACACACTACAAAAGTTTTGATAGATTGCCATTTAAGAAAACGGAGCTATTTGAGTCAGGTGAAGCTCATACCGGGCAGGTCTTCACATATAACTAGGCTGGTGTGATCGCAACCACAGAGGGAAGTGGTAAACGAAGTGGTGAAGATCTTACACATAGAAGAACGCTAAGACCCTTCAGGCGCCCAGGTCTCCCTTGCCTGACCACTTCCTCCCTTGTTCATCTCAACTCAGTTCCTGTTATCTGCTATCTCTCATCTTTCCATCCACACTTAAAAACAAGGCAAACAACCCTCATTCAGCTTGCAGCACTGTCTTGGGATTTTGAAAACTTGCTTTGCAATGATTGCAGCCTTTTGCTTAAATGTCCCCTTTGCATGATGAATGCAACTCCTAGAATCCCTAGTAATCATGGCTAGTGGGTGTGTTGGCCGAAGCAGTGCTGTTCAAATGGATTGTGGTCCCTTATCCCTGGAAAGGTTCCCAAGCAAAAAGAAAGCAATTGTGGCCAACAGACACTAGTATGGGACCACTCCTTGACATATTGGGATGAAAAATACAGATCCCCAATATCAGATCACTTTGAAAGCCCTGCCCCTAAGAGACTGTGGGAGTTGAAGTCCAATGAAGGACTCTTTCCAAGCTATATATTGTTGAAGGCTTTCATGGCTGGAATCACTGGGTTGTTGTAGGTTTTTTCGGGCTGTATGGCCATATTCTAGAAGCATTCTCTCCTGACTTTTTGCCTGCATCTATGGCAGGCATCCTCAGATACAAACTAGGAAAATTGGGTTTATATATCTGTGGAAAGTGTACGGTGGCAGAAAGAACTCTTGTCTGTTGGAGCTAGGTGGGAATATTTCTATTGGCCACCTTGATCTATCAAACTTTATTATTATTATTCACATTGATCCTATTTGCAGACGAAAGACCATCACAGATTGGGAGACAGACTTAGTGAACCTGGAAGGGGCCGAGCTCTCTGTGGAAGTCCTGGAAAATGTACCGCTTACGATGCACAATTTTGTGAGTCCCTTGAGATCTTATATTTGTTGTTTACAGTGTCCTTTCCTCCAAGAAAGAGCATGAAATGGCATCGAGGAACCTGTGGTTCTCCAAAACCCAGTTGGATTACTACTCCAATCAGCCTTGACGATTGACCATGCTAGTAAGAGGAGAGGATGGGGGTCAGATCCCATTGCCAGGAGTTTCCCAACCTTTGCTGTATAAGAACATTTGCCTTTTTGCTCTTGCTCCGGAGTTGCCCATAACAGGCCCATGGACAGTGTGCAACTAGCAAAGATATTTTTTGAAGCTCTCGTTCTCTTGGAAATGCCCCCTCCCAATGCTCCCCTGTTGTATCATCCTTATTTATTGGCCCTGCGCATCAAGACTCACGTAGGTTGCACTTCAGCAATGCCAGTTTGTGCCCCACTATCTTAAAAAAGGCACGTCCAGTCAACAGATGGTATTTCCATGTTGAACTCATAGCCTAAGGGAAACTAATCCGTCATGAGGGAATTGAACTGTTGTGAATAGCCATTGTGAAGGAGGATGTTTGGAATTGTATACCATATAGATAATGCAAGGCTTGGAAAGGTTGCCTTTAGGATTAATACAAAGTTGTCCTGTTACTGTATTCTTCATTGTAATGATATGAAATTCAAAATAGAATACTATACATAATCTGACTATTATTTATAAACAAAGAACATGGGAAATGAACAAATACATTTAGGTATGAGTTACACAGATATAACAAACATTATGTTCATATTATTACTACTTCAGAGACTATAGAAGAACCAATGAGTTATTTTGGAAAGTATTCAAACATGAACATAATGTTTGTTGTATCTGTGTAAGTCATGCCTAAATATATTTGTTTGTTTCTCGTGTTCTTTACTTATAAATAACTAGCTGTACCCACCCCGCGTTGCTGTGGCCAACCTTCCCTCTCTTTCTCTCCTTTCTTTCTCTCCTTCCTTCCCTTTTTTTTCTTTCATTCTCTTCTTCTTCTCTTCCTTCCCCTTTCTTTCCCTTTCCTCTTTCTCTCTTTTCTTCCTTTTCTACTATTCTTGGACTGCAACTCCCAGCAATCCTCCTGATTGGTCTATCTACCTACCTAATATCTATCTCTATCTAATCTATCTACTTTATCTATCTGGAGGATTGCTGGGAGTTGCAGTCCAGGAATAGGAAATTGGAAATACGCAGGGATTGGGATGCTCTCAAAGAAATCCAAGGAGAACAAAGCTTGCAGCTTGGAAGCAATGCATTTGGATCATCTTCCTGTCCTAAAGGGCCTGGTCTAGGGGATGCTGGGAGCTGTTGTCCGGAAGAGAGAGTGGATATGCTATTGTGTGTTTTGTTTGCCAGGGGGAGTTGTTTTTGCACATGCGCTGTAGAATCTTTTTGCTTCTTTGGCTTTTTAAGTGCCTTCTGCTGTGTTTTTGTGTTTTTATGTGTGATGGTCACTCATTGGCCTGATAGGTGTCTTGTGTCCAAATTTGGTGTCAATTCGCCCAGTGGTTTTTGAGTTGTGTTAATCCCACAAACAAACATTACATTTTTATTTATATAAATAGTCAGATTATGTAAAGTATTTTGAATTTCATATCATTACAATTAAGAATAAAGTAACAGGACAACTTTGTATTAATACTAGTTGTATAGATATCTGTTTAGTTAGCTAAGCTTGCCTTGAGGACCATTTCGTACTATACAACTACAGCACTACTATAATTGCAACATCCTGGGATGTGTAGTTTGTTGGAGAACTAGAGCACGATGGCAGAGATTCCTAAATATCCCTCTTTACACTACCAGTCCCAGGACTCTGCAGAAGGTTGCCATGGCAATTAAAGTGGAAAAGGTACACTTTAACCATGCAATGTGGAAGGGCACTAGGATTGTTTCAGCCCAGGTTCCCATGCTAATTACTGAATGGTTGTCAGAAAGATCCCAGCCTGGCGCTAATACCTTAGGTGGCACTTCTCCCCAGCTGACCTGAAATCTCGTTTTCTTTGGGACAGGTCCGGAAGACCTACTTCCGCATGGTTTTTTGTGATTTCTGCCTTAAGTTCCTGTTCCACGGCTTCCGCTGCCAGACGTGTGGCTACAAGTTCCATGAACATTGCAGCAGCAGAGTGCCGACAGTCTGTGTGGACTTGGCAACGACCCACAAGCCGTGAGTGTCCCCCTGGGTCCCATGTTCTCCACCTTTCCATCACGGAAATGGCCTCAATTTCTGTTTCCTTTGTGGTAAGTGTCATTTCTCTTTCCTATAGTGTTTACAGCTACGACCCGTGGCAGTATCCTCCACTGTGGTCAGATAATGCTTCCGCTGCCCTGATCCATGAACCTACAACCCCACAAGCCAACAGGTAAGAGATGGGATCACAACTGAGCAGCACAGGACTCTGGTGAACTAGAAATTACTCCAAAGGGGCAATATAGATCCAAAGAGGACATTAGGGTGTCAGATTGGATTCACCAATTACAAAGAGGACAGGTCCAGTTCCTAATGTTAGGTGGATTGAGATGGTGGATATTGGGGAGCAGCACTCTTGAACTCAGTTGAAGGAGTGAGGTGTATTCTCCACAGAGTTTTACGTTCCTTAAACTAACCTGCAGTGGAGGACATTATCTGATTGTTTTAGAAATCAACATTCATGACTTTTTGGAAAACACCTTTTGGAGGTCATAACTTTTTAGAAAAGCATGTCCTTTCAGAGAAAAGCCAAAAACCCTTTAGAGTAGCATCTTCTCTTGTGGTTTACAACCAGATATAATTATGTTAGGGAATGCGTTTCAGTTGTTAGACTGAATAATCTGTTATCTCTGATCTGTTAAGAAAACAATGCATAAAAAGCAGCAGTGCTTCAGAAGTGTTTTTCAGCGTATATATTCTTTTCTCGCATAAAACAACTTGTTTTATATCATGCGCTCAAGAGACAAAAATGAAGTAGACTTTGATAAAAATAACATATTTGGTTTACTCACAACCTTCATGTGTTCAACATACACAGATAGAAAACTTATCAGTCCAGTTTCAGATATGTTTGAGATAATTCTCTGTGCCATCCAGCCAGAACATTTCTTACAGCAAAACAGCAAGCAAGTGTGTGATCTGAGGTCTGAAGTTGTCTGTAGTCTGACTGTCTGTAATCTGTCTGTAGTGATCATGTGGTCTGCAGCCCCACTTCTCAGAAACCATAGAGTAAAGGAAGCTGCATACCAGAACATGCATACCAGAAACGTGTAGCAACAGGATAATAGATCAACATCACTAGAGAAGGCTTGAAGGAGGTTCTCATTTCCAACAGCTTGCCAGTCATGAAATAAATTTCAACTGCCAGTTCGGGTGTTTTCTACACATCTTGGCAACATAATGTCTTTGGTCATCCGGAGGACTCGCAAACCATTTTAGGAAGAATTTCCCTAAAGCTTTAGAGTACATGAAATGTTTCTATCAGGACATTAAAGCAATTCTGGTATATTTATAATATGGTAGGAAAATGCACTGGGAGCCCCTGGTGGTGCAGTGGGTTAAACTGCTGAGCTGCTGAACTTGCTGACTGAAAGGTTGCAGGTTTGAATCTGGGGAGCAGGGTGAGCTCCTGCTATTAGCCCCAGCCTCTGTTCAACTAGTAATTCAAAAATATCCAAATTTGAGTAGATAAATAAGTACCGCTCCAGTGGGAACTTGACAGCGCTCCATGCAGTTATGCCGGCTACATGACCTTGGAGGTGTCTACGGACAACGCCGCTCTTTGGCTTAGAAATGGAGATGAGCACCAACCCCAGAGTCAGACACAACTGGACTTAATGTCAAGGGGAAATCTTTACCTTTACCTAGGAAAAGGCAAATACCATATTGTAAAGTTGTGCCTCTCACCTGTTTGACTGAGTGAAGCTTGAATTTATTTTTATTTTTTAAAGTGTACCATTTTAGTCCTCCTGTTTTGGAAGGACACTACATGCCATAATTTGGGAGGAGGACAACTATAATAATGATATTAAATGGTTTTTTTTTTTTTACCAAAATGCATGTTTGATATACTCAAGAAAAAGTTGTATTGCCACTCTCTCTCTTTTTAAAAGGGATAAGTATGTAGTTCTTATACTTTTCAAAGCAGAAATACTGCACTCCACTTTGTGAGTGAGTGAACAGCAATTGTAGCTGCGTACCTATTTGCAGGTTTAACTTTTGCAGATTTAAATGCCTTACATCCTCTAAATCCATTTTAGTCACATTAGAGAACCTATAGAATCCTATAGATGTGTTCCCTAAGTTTTAAAAAGTTTTTTTTTTCAATTTGGGGTTTTCCCAAGGATCCTGAGCCCTTAACACCAGCAAATGTGAATGACGTTGCATTGCCAGGCCAAACAGGTGGAATTGGGGGATTGATACAGCCCAGTCAGCTTGGATGTAAATGAAGGCATCTTGTTCTGTTCCTTCCTTCCAGCTCGCACAAGCCGTCTCCCCTCAGCAAAGATGCCTTCAGCTTCCCCAGCCTGTGTAGCGATGGGCAGCTCCTGCAGCGACACCGCTCGACGTCCACTCCCAATGTCCACATGGTCAGCACCACCAGCCCCGTGGAGAACAGCATCCTTGAGGTGAGTGAGGAGGCCTGTCCACCTGAGCCCTGATCAGAGGTTCCTTGCTCCTTCCCACACTCCAAAAGATAATGGAAGTTTTGCTGACTATGCTAGAAGATACCTTGCATTTGACACAATCTTCTAGCACAGTTTTGGCAAAATCCAGGACATGATTGATTGGAAGTGGATGATGTGTGCCTAGTTCCCAAACTCAGTCCGGGTGTTTTGCATTATCCTATTCTATTGAGCATTGAGTGAGGAGAGCAGCTTGAAATGAGCATCCCAAAACAATGGGCATAATTTCCTTAGTTAGAACTAGGCCTGGTCTTCCACTGAGTGCTACTCAAGAGCAGGTTAGAGTCACCTCTCCCCTTCCTGTGCCCTGCTTTTTTGTAGTTACTCATGTGTCACTTTGTCTTTCTCTTCCAGTTCATAAGCAGGAGCCACAATGCAGAGGGTGAGTTGAATATCTGGCCAGGCTGAATAAAGTACATGTTGGCAATAGGGAGAGGTGGGGAGAACAAATGGCTGAGGTGTGTTGGTAACCGATAGATGTCCTAAAGCATGGTGTCACCAAACTAATGCCCTCAGGCCAAATCCAGCCCTCCAAGGTCTTTTCCCCAACTCTGACACTACTGCCACGTGTGCATGCACAGTGCACGCTTTTATGCAGTGGCAACAGTGAGTGTGAGCAGCAGTGCCATGTGTGTGGCGGCAGTGGTGGCAAGTGTGTACATGTGCAGCAGTATGTGTGTGGCATGCCTGACACACACCACACACACACATGCATGCCAGACACATGCATGCACACATGATGCACACGAACCCAATTAAGGTCCAGTCCCCCAACAATCTGAACGACTGTGAACTGGCCCTCCACTTAAAAAGTTGGATCCAAATTTAAAACATCTTTGGAAGAATTCCACTGAAATCACCCAGGTGGATTTACTGCAATCACACTAATTCCAGTGAGTCTCTTGTAAGCCTAATTAAATCTGGATCCAACTCAATGACATCACATCACACTGTTCTCAGTGTTACACTGTTTGGGAGCTGTTGCGTGTTGGGTTTCCCTTCCCCATTTCTCCTGAATGACAGTTGGGAATGTATCTTTTTCTTCTCTTTCTCTGTTTCTGCTCTCATTCTTACTGGTTGTTTAAAATGCATGCTTTTCTACTGCAAGCTTTTTGAATTTGCCTTCTCCCTTCTTACACTTTAGTATGGAGAGTATTTGCTGTGTGCTTTGAGATCTCTCTCTGTGTGTGTGTCAGAAAGATGTAGTGATTTTCCCCTACTCTTTGAAACCTTGGAAGAGATGGGTGTTAGAGTAGCGCAGACCCATTTCTTTACCATGAAGAAATGTAGTTAGTTCTTTATTATTGTAAATAAAGCTTTTGAGATTTTTAAGATTGGACTCTGCATGTTTGCCTCCTAAGCTCTGAATTCACACGGCACTTCATGCTCTGCTCACTGATGAGCTGAATGCTCAATTTTAAGTGTCCTGTTCGTTTTTTGGACTCTCTGCTATAATTAGGGTAGTTTTCCCCCAACATTGAGTTGGTAGATTTCCTGTGTCTGTTGTTAATATGTTCTTGTGCTGTGATGGGGATTGTCACCATACTTTGTAGCACAGAGCTTCATAAGTTATTAATGAATTACTTGAAGGATTTACTTATTTTTCTTGGTTTTGAGACTAATGTTGGTCCATTTCCTTGAATCACCTTAAATTCATTATAATGAGGCATTATCTTTTTGCCTCTTATTTCCATGCCAGTTTTGTAGACATTTTTCAAAAGCACCCTACTACGTAAACAAGGAAGTTTATTGGTAAGCTGTGGTCTTGTCAGGGAACAGTCTGGTGAGAGCATCTTCTTTTTTGGGGACAGGTGGGCTTGAACTGCCTCCTCGCACCCCACCAGCCACCCCAGTATCCGGCATGGCTGCTATTTCTCCTGGCCGGCGCTCCCCGCACCCCAAATCTCCCGGCGAGTCTCCAAGGGATCGCAAGGCCCCTTCAGAAGACAAGAAGAAACCTGTGAGTTTTGAGAGGGAAAATAGTTTGTCCAGCCAAAACAAAAAATAACAGCCCTCTTCAAATTGGGAGGCATGATGGATGAAGAAGATTTAGGACCCCAAGTGGCCAGGCTATGGGAGGTGTTAGGGCGCTCACCTGTAGAAGCAGAGAATGGTTGATCCTGAAATCCCAAGCATTTCCTTTCTCTGTGGTTCCTGCTTATCCTTGACGATACTCTGTATCCTTCAGAAATCCTTGGGCTACCGGGACTCAAGCTATTATTGGGAGGTGTCTTCCAAAGAGGTGACCATGCAGAAGCGGATTGGGACCGGGTCCTTTGGTACTGTCTTCAAGGGTCGGTGGTATGGGGATGTGGCAATAAAGATCCTGAAGGTCACCAACCCCACCAGCGAGCAGGTGCAGGCCTTCAAGAATGAGATGCAGGTTCTCAGGTAAGGCTCTGGTGTTTATGAAGGGCAGGTGGACATTTTGTCGAGAAGATAGCCGACGGAAGTGAACTGAGCCTTTGATCCTGGGCAGACTCCTTCATTCTCCTCTTTTCCCACTCCCTCTTGCAGGAAGACGCGGCATGTGAATATTTTGCTCTTCATGGGGTTCATGACCCACCCCAGCTTTGCCATCATCACCCAATGGTGTGACGGTAGCAGCCTATACCAGCACCTCCACGTGCAGGAGACACCCCTGGAAATGGTGCAGCGGATTGATGTAGCCCGGCAAACAGCCCAGGGCATGGAGTGAGTGTGCCAATTGGGAGTCCCCTGTGGAAGGGATTGGCTCATGGGGTCTGCGGCCCCTTCCACACAGGTGAATCAAATCTCACATGTTCTGCTTTGAACTGAAACATATGGCAGTGTAGACTCAAATAACCCAGTTCAAAGCAGATATTGTGGGATTTTCTGCCTTGATGTTCTGAGATATAGGACTGTGTGGAAGGCCCCGTGTCTTGAAGCCAGGAAAGCCGGTGTGAGTTTGTGGCACAAGAGAGAAAATAGATTATGCCATTGCAGGAGTGGCTACTTGGTGAATTGTGAGCCAGGTACCATTTATGGGCACCTTAATTAGGGGAAGGTGTTTGAGAAATAGTAGGGTGCTAATGGTTTGCCTGTTGGACTGGAGATATCTAGGGAAAGATCTTCGCTTGAGCCATGAAGTGATATTACACTCAGTCTCAGCCCTGACATACCTCACAAAGTGTAGGTTGTGAGGATTAAGAGCCGGTGAAGCAGAGGAGAGCCTCGTCTTCTGACTTAGGACAGAGAATAAGTGTAACTAATACATAAATGAGCAAAATTTAGTTTAAAGGAGACACTATTACTGGATTGCTATGAGTTTTCCAGGCTGTATGGCTATGTCCCAGAAGTATTCTCTCCTGACGTTTCGCCTGCATCTATGGCAGGCATCCTCAGAAGTAGTGAGGTCTGTTGGAAACTAGGCAAGAGAGGCTTATGTATCAGTGGAATGTCCAGGGTGGGAGAAAGAACCCATGTCTGTTTGAGGCAAGTGTGAATGTTGCAATTAGCCACCTTGATTAGCATTGAATGGCCTTGCAGCTTTAAAGCTTGGCTGGTTGTTGCCTGGAAAGATTCTTTGTTGGGAAGTGTGCAATTCTTGTCCGGAATTCCCCTGTTTTTTTAGTGTTGCTCTTTATATACTGTCCTGATTTTAGAGTTTTGTAAATAGTGGTATTATTATTATTATTATTATTATTATTATTATTATTATTATTATTAAACTTTATTTGTACCCCTACCCCGCTAGCATCTCCCGAAGGACTCGATGCGGCTTACAAAGGCCAAGGACTCAATACACAACACAACAATACACTCAAAGCAAATTAAAAACAATTAAAGCACTATTAAAACAACAAAACCACAAGCAATAAACAATACACCAACAAGATAAAACTGAGCCATATTTTGTTCATTTTCATGGTTTCTTTCTGTTGAAATTGTCCAATGGCTTCTCTGTGTAGTCTGACATGGTGGCTGTTAGAGTGGTGCAGTATTTCTTCTAGAGATGCTATTACTCTAGGAGTGAGCAACTGCATGGAAGTTAAGGGCCAGTTTCCCCCACCGCTGCCCCTACTCGTAAGCTTCAGAGGAGAGCAGGAGCTGGTGTAGAGTTCTTGGGTGTTTGCGTGGGTGTGGCGAATGTGTTTTCGTATATTTGATGCATTTCCTGCATAGTTTGGGGGCAAATTTTCCAAACATTGTAACACAAAGCAAGGTAGGGCACAGGCTACTTTGTGCCCAGCGTTGCCTTCGTGCAATGGTGCTCAGTCTGCATCATGTTGGCATGTATAATCACAATAACTGAAGCTGGCAGTGCTGATTATGTTTTTCTGTTTCCCACAGCTACCTTCATGCTAAGCACATAATCCACCGGGACCTCAAATCTAACAGTATCCTTCCCTTCTAGCTCCTGAGTGTAGGTTGGGAGTTTCATAGGCCTTCCTCTGGGAGATTGAACCACATGGCCATTCATTGGTGCAAATGGATAGATTGGACCAGGATATTGTAGTGGCTAAGAGAGGGTTACGGTCCTTGACCAAAAGAGGACATGTGCAGTCTAATAGTAAGAAGTATTTGTTTTGGGATATAGCACTTATTTTGTAGCATACACTTAAGTGAAGCTCCTTCACCTACTGTCTCAGACATTTTCCTCCACGAAGGACTGACGGTGAAGATTGGAGACTTTGGCCTGGCCACGGTGAAGACGCGTTGGAGTGGATCGCAGCAGGTGGAACAGCCCGGTGGCTCCATACTCTGGATGGTGAGTGTGACATGAGGTGGCTCCTGGGGAAGGTCCCATGCCTCGGTTAGTTGGAGGCTGGCAAACATGGAAACCAGACCAGCAGAAACAAGTCGTACCTTCTAGAGAAATGGGGGAGAAAAGCAAGCGTTCATCTTCACTATCCAAGCCTGAATTCCTTCTTTTTGGGCTTCATCAGTCACCTGAAGTCATCCGGATGCAGGATCCTAACCCCTACAGCTTCCAGTCAGATGTCTACTCCTATGGAGTTGTCCTCTATGAGCTGCTCTCTGGGAGCCTTCCCTACAGCCATATCAACAACCGGGACCAGGTAAGAAAACAAAGGTAGGAAAGCTGGGATGGGACAGAAAACTTCAGGCTTTCATCGAACTGGCCGTTACAATTTGGGCTGTAACCATCCCTTTCTGGACTCTGCTTGGCTGTTAAAAATTAATTGATAGATCAGATTTGGGATTTTGAGGTTTTTTTTAAAAAAAAATACCTATATTTGCATATTGGGAGCTGCTAAGCTTGTTGACCAAAAGGTTGCCAGTTTGAATCCAGGGAGTGGCGTGAGCTTCCGCTGTCAGCCCCAGCTTCTGCCAACCTAGCAGTTCGAAAACATGCATCTGTGAGTAGATCAATAGGTACCGCTTCTGCGGGAAGGTAACGGTGCTCCATGCAGTCATGCTGGCCACATGACTTTGGAGGTGTCTACGGACAACGCCGGCTCTTTGGTTTAGAAATGGAGATGAGCATCAACCCCCAGAGTCGGACACGACTGGACTTAATGTCAGGGGACAACCTTTACCTTTGTATTTGCACATACACAGCCAATAATGGTGTGAAAGGGGACTCGTCACATGTCGAATTCCTATTGCTTTTTTTCCCTCAAGGGACGTCAACACATTTTCCTCCTTTTTAGCGAAGTAGTTGTGAAATCCTTCTCTTCCCCATTTCCCCAAGAATCTTTATCATTTCCTGGCTGGAAGCAGGTGGCAGTCAATGCGGTCACTCCAAGTGGAACCTGAATAAGAAAGTGTCTTGGATGCCTGGATGCCTGCTTTTTAAACAGGGGCCTTACGTAAACTGAGTCCTGCCTGCTCCTCTGTCTTCTGTCAGGGCTCCTTGAGGAAAAACTCAGAGGGCACTGTTTTTGTGACTGGTCCGCTTTTCCCAAAAGCTTTAGTTCCTGAAATATTTTGGATTTCTGAGCAAAGGGTACTCAATCTGGACTGACTTTCTGTACAGCCAGCAGATGGTGCTAAAAGAGATATTTGTTGTCCTGCCCATCATGTTAGGCTGCTGTCTCTTAACTTTCCACTAGAGAGTCTCTTTCCCACAAGGATATGTTGAAGAGGGAATTGGGGGGGCGCTCTGGCAACCAGAATTCTTTCCAAAACTCCCCTTCTCATTAGTTGTGACAATAGCGTATCTTTCCCCACATCCTTCCAGATTATATTCATGGTTGGTCGAGGGTACCTGTCCCCTGATGTCAGCAAAGTGCCCAGCAATTGTCCCAAAGCTATGCGCAGGTTGATGGGCGACTGCCTGAAATTCAAGCGTGAAGAGAGACCCCTCTTCCCTCAGGTGAGTCCTGGCAGAAGGGACGAGGATAGATGCATTGCATTTATCTCTCTTTGCATGTATGTTCTCACAATGAATTTGTGTTTGTTATTAGGGGAAAAATGTGATATATGTATGTGTGTGTGTGCTCTATGTACCTTCAAGTCTTTTCTAATTTATAGCAAAACTGAGCTGAACATAACCACAGGGTTTTCCTGGCAAGATTTGTTCAGAGAGCCTTTGCCTTCCTCTGTGACTTGCCCAATGTCATTCAGTGGATATCTATGGCCAGGTGGCTGGCCGGGCAGCCGGTGGTGCGGCTGGCCACAGTGGCACAGTGGGTTAAACTGCTAAGCTGCAGAACTTGCTGACTGGAAGGTTGGTGGTTCGAATCCGCAGAACGGGGTGAGCTCCCATTGTTAGCCCCAGCTTCTGCCAATTTAGCATTTCGAAAACATGCAAATTTGAGTTGATCAATAGGTACCGCTTTGGTGGGAAATTAACAGCGCTCCATGGAGTCATGCTGGCACATGATCTATGAGGCGTCTATGGGCAATGTTGGCTCTTCGGCTTAGAAATGGAGATGAGTGCCACCCCCCAGAGTTAGAATAGATTAGACTTAATGCCAAGGGGAAACCTTTACCTCATTTTATCCTAGCCTAACATTCAAACAATTACACCACGCTAGCCTTCTATACATATAGCTGTCTCCCCAGAATTTGATCCCCAGTGAAGGCCCCGTTGCATGCCCCATCCAACCCAAGAGGCTAGCTTGATGAGGACATGAGACAGGGCTTTCTCATTCATGGCATCTTGGGGCTCCTCTGTGAACTTCATTATGTGTTAGGAAATATATTTCCCAATTTGCAGATGATTAATGTGGTTGGATGTTCTAATATTTTGGAAAAGTCAGAAAAAATGCCCATATCTCGCACATAATTTTATAAAGATTTCCCATACCCTTTCTTCCCAACCTCACCATTCCCCTTTTCTCATTGGGGGATCCAACAAAACTTTAGGGAAGAGAAATGAATCCTTGGGAAACAGAGAGAAGTGGAAGATGCGTAAAAGTTTTGTGTGGCTCACTATTTAGTTTTTATATTGTTATATGTTTATATTTGTGTGGCTCAGTATATTGTTTTTATATTGTTTATACAGTTTTATACTGTTTTATATTGTTATTATTACATTACTGTTAATTGTATATTTATGTTTTGATGTGGGCACCATTGGAGTGCCACTTGGTTAGCCGTCCTGAGTCCCTCTGCAGAGGTTGAGAAAGGACGGGATATAAAAGCCCCAAATAAATAATAATAAATAAATTTAGCAGAGAGTGGGAAAGTCTCCCTGTTGGACAACAACTACCAAAATACTCCAGCCATGAAGGCAAGTAGCCGTGTTGGATGAGAGCTTTTGGAAGGTCATAAAACAACATCTCTGGGGATGTGGCAGTCGTATTCCACCTGGAATCTAAGCATTGGCCATGATGGTTGGGGCTGGTGTGGTTTGCAGTCCAACTCATCTGGCTTAGAGAAATTGTGTGTGTGTGTGGGGGGTGGGGGTGGTAACACATAGGAGGCAGCTTCTGAGGATTCCCTTTTTTTGCTTCTTGCAGATTTTAGCTTCAATTGAGTCTCTGCAGCACTCCTTGCCCAGGATTGAGCGTAGTGCCTCGGAGCCCGCACTCCACCGGGTGGCCTGTGATGAAGAAATGACCTTCTTTGGCCTGCCGTCAGCTCAGCGGTTCCGCAGTTAATGTGATGCTTGTGGAACTGCTACCACAAGCATCCCCTTCTCTCCATCCTTCCTGCAAGGAGCAGTAGAGGAATCCTCCTCAAGACAGCAGCCATGGAGCCCAACCATCTTGCTGACCACCCCGCCCCCACATAAATACGTCTGGAGGAACTCTTTGGCTCTGCAGGGAGACTTCTGTGTGATTCCCTCTCTCAAGCCCACTGAGCCAGAAGGGGTCACCCAAGCCAAGAAGACTTGTAGGTCAAGTCCCTACTCCAAGGTGACTTTAGCTCCGTCTTCCCAGGTGAAAATTCTTTTTAAAAAGCTCTCATCCTGCTTCAGGATTTTGGGTGGGCAAAAGCAGGAAAGAGTGGAAAGTTCAGTGCAAAGGAAAGAATGAGGTGTAAAAAAAATAAAAAGGCAAAACAACTCATCTGATCTTTGATGTCTGTCATCTGCCAGTTAAGAATAATGGGGAACATGTGATCCTTGGGGTGTGTTTGAGCTGCAACTCCTGGCAGTCCCAGCTGGAAGGGTGGATGATGAGGACGATGGGAGTTGCCATCCAACAGCATGAGAAAAATAAGGAACAGGCCCTTGCTGTAGAGGTGAAGCAAAAAACCAGTGGGAAATAGGAAAAGGAGACTAGCAGAAGGCGGAATCCTGTGCCATCTTTCCGCGCTTCTTCGTGTAGTTCCCTCAATCACCGTGTTCCTATCCAAATCACATTGTAGAGATTTTTTAGCCTTCACTCAAGATTTGTTGCTGTTTATTTGTTCAGTCGCTTACAACTCTTCGTGACCTTATGGACCAGCCCACACTAGAGCTCCTTGTCGGCCGTGGGGAGCTCTGGCGTGGGCAGGTTCATGAGGTCATGAAGAGTCGGAAGCGACTGAACGAATAAACAACAAATCTTGAGTGAAGGCTAAAAAGATGGTTTGCAGAAAATTGCAATTGATATTAAATAAAAGGAGGTTTCTTTTAGGCCAGTGGTTCCCAATCTGTGGTCCATGGACCACCAATGGTCCGCAAGAACGAAAATATGGTCCATGGCCTCACCATTACTACACAGTTGCTTCAAAACCATGTGGCAACGAGAGCAACCGGTCTTGTGAAACTCTCTTATTACTACTACCACATCAGCTCTAGATTATTAAATATGGTTTCCTGTGGGGGAGCAGATGGCGACTACTGGATGGCATATGTTTTGTATCGGAAACTAGAGCTGATGTGGTCTATCCAATGCAATTTTCTGAATCGACACCCCAAATAACCAAACTGAATCTAAAGTTGACAAAAATCTGATTCCTAGCCCTTTTGGTACTAATGTTAGATAGTGGTCCTTGGTCAAAGTGGTCCCTGTTTAAGTGGTCCCTAGTCAAAACAAGGTTGGGAACCACCATTTTAGGCCATGTGGATTCTCCTGTAGTGACCCAGAAATGCAAGGAATATGTTATTGTAACTGTTAGAATAGGCCTTCTGTGCTTCCTTGCATCATTCTTGGAAAGTTCCAGTTCTCCTCTCCCCTTCATGTGTACCTGGCTATTCCTTGAAGGAACCTCAAATTGGGGCCACCTCTGAACTAAATGGCTACTGTGATTTTTACTGATTTATGTAGCAGTCATCACCTGAAAAGAGAGCTGTTATCCTTATCAGAGGTGAGCTGGCCCTTCCCATTATTTTGCACTTGTGTTCACTGGTGGTTTGGAGGCTTCCAAGGACAAAGAATATTGAGTACAAAATATACATTAAGAATACTTTCTAATATGTGGAATTTTGAACTGTGGGTTGACCCGAAAGAGGCAGCGATATACTTGGGTTCTTTTGAAACAGTAGTTCTCAGCCTCCGTCCTTTTGGATGATGCTGGACTACAATTCCACCTTTGTTGCTTGTTGCCTGTAGCTGATAGAAGCTGGTGTCCACCAACCTCCAAAAGTGCAGTTTTCTATCCAGCCAGAGGCAGATGTGTGGCCCTCCTGACATTGTTGAACTGCATCCCACAGCATCCCTCACTTTTAGGTAGACTAAGCCTGCTGAGAGTTGCAGTTCACGAGTATCTGGACTGCATGTTGTCCACTTTTGCTCAAAGCCCTGAGATGTCACAAAGTGACCATGAGGTTGCCTGATACTGTGCCTTAGAAGGAATGCTCACAAGGTTCCTCTCTTTGGTGGTGAACACAGGGATCCAACTGAATCAGACCAAAGGCCAGTTGTCCAGGAATCTGTTGTTCTAACCTAGTTTGTGTTTTGGAAGGCATCAGCAGGGCATGAATGTAAACAGCACCCTCTCACTTGTATTCCCCTCCATTCTGTACAGAGAGACACATTCCCAAGTATTGGAGGCAGTAGCTAGCAAAAAAAACCTGAAATCACTATGAAGTTGTCTTAATCCCTCTCTTTAAAAAAGGATCTTCAAAGAATGTGGAAATGAATTCTTTAACTTCACGGCATGACTGAGAACAAGTACTTTCTGTTTGCTCCACTGTTTAGCTTCATGTTATGACTTCCAGTTCTAATACTTTTGAGAAGAACGTATTTACCCACTTTCTTCAAAATGACAATTCCTTTTCTATACTGCAACCGCATTTTCTTTTTGTTTGTTTTCCCTTTTAAAGTAAATAGCCCCAAATGTTTAACTTTTCCTTGAAGGGTGGTTGATTCCAGGCTTCCGGTTATTTTAGCTGCTGTTTTCTGCACTTCTTCCAGCTCTGCAGTATCATTTGTGTGACATGGCAACCAGAACACTAGATTTTGAGTATGGCACATCATAGATTTTTATTAAAGCCTAACTCAATTCTTTTCCTTTTTAATTTTTTTTTTGTTTCTTTTGCTTTTTCTTCCAATTTTCCTAATCCTCCTGTCATGGAACCCATCATTTTCACAGCAGCCACTCACTGGTTGAACTTTTTTTTTATCAACCAATGGAGTTACACATCAGGAAAGTCCCTTTTCTGGCAAGTGCCGACTCACACTCTATCAGAGTATAGTGTGTCAATTTCAGATTTTTGTATCCAACTTGCAGCGTTTTATAATTAGTAACTTTGAATGAAATTTACTGCTCTTCCAGTTTGAAGAGATTGGCTAGAAACTTTCCCACCTCTTTGGCCTTTAACCATCCTATATAATACGGGCCTCCTGGTGTGCAGTTGGTTAAACTGCTGAGCTGCTGAACTTGTTGAACTTGGTGGTTCGAATCCAGGGAGCAGGGTGAGCTCCTACTGTTAACCTCAGCTTCTGGCAACCTAGCAGTTCAAAAACATGCAAATGGGAGTAGATCAATAGGTACCACTCCAGTGGGACGGTAACGACACTCCATGCAGTCATGTCGGCCACATAACTTTGGAGGCATCTACGGACAACACCAGCTCTTCATCTTAGAAATGGAGATGTGCACCACCCATCAGAGTTGGACATGACTGGGCTTGATGTCAGGGGAAACCTTTACCTTTACAATTTCTGGATCATCCATTGGGATGACCTTTCTGCCCACTAAACCAGATCATATCGTTATTGGGAACCATTAGAGCTGTGCTACTCCAAGTGCAAGCCTATAGACCAACTTTGTTCCACAAGCTGCTGGTCCATTGTAAATTTCTAGGAAAGAGAAATAGTTGGTGATGTGCACAAATAGTGTACCAGTCTTTTGTGATTGTTGCTGTTGTTACATGCCATCAAGTCAACTTCAACTTAGAAAGAAGAGACTTCAGGATCCCTGGTCATCAACAGCCTTGTTCAGATCTTGAGGATTCAGAACTGGGATTTACTTGATACGGATCTTTCCACCTATAACGCGGTCTTCCTCTTTTCCTATTACCCTCTGCCTTACCAAGCATTTTCTTTCCTAGTAATGTCTTCTCATGACATGGCCCAAAGTATGACAGGCTCAGTTTAGTCATCCTGGCTTCTAAGGAGACTTGAGGCTTGATTTACTCTCAGGCCCATTTGTTTCTCCTGGGAAAACACTCCTACATTGACACATTTCAATTGTTAATTTTCTTTCTGCCCACTTTCTTCACTGTCTAGCTTTCAGAACCATATGCAGGACCCATGCCTGGTATTTTGAGAAAAACATCCTGCCAATCCTCCAATCCCATCTTAAGAAGACCTGTGCCAATAGTTTTCCCCCCCTCAACTCTCCCTAAGGATCTGGTTATGTTCTTTTGTTATAAAAACTCTTTCTACCTCCTTTTTGATTCCTGTTTTAACTACGTGTCAACAGGGATGTCCTGGTAAATGCTGAAGTGCAGGAATTAACCATGAACAGAAAGGAGAATTTTTTTAAAATGCAGGAAGTTATCTTAAGCAATGGTAAGGGGAAATATTCCCCCGGCTCTTGCAACTTTTTTCTTGACCTGGGAGCAAATATTTGTAAAAGGTTTTGAACTGTCCACTCCAGACCATGCCATTGTAGAAACTTTGCATTATTACTCATTAGCTCATAACAATACGTTGTGGCTGGGAAAATCCCTCTTCTGCTCACCACCGCTGTGTGCCCTGCAGACACCCAGAGCTAAAAGAGAAAGTGGGGGTTGAAACCTAAGGATCTTATTGCTTAACCCCAAATGCTGTAGACATACTGAATCCAGTCTTTGTGATGTGGCAGCTAAAATGCCGATAGGACTTTGGCCTGCATAAATAGAAGTCTAGTGTCTAGGCCCAGGGAAATCATGCTACCCCCCTATTCTGCCTTGGTCAGGCCACACCTGGAAATCTGGGCACCGCAACTGAAGGGAGATGTTGACAAGCTGGAATGTGTCCAGAGGAGGGTGACTAAAATAATCAAGGGTCTGGAGAACAAGCCCTATGAGGTGCAGATTAAAGAGCTGGGCATGTTTAGCCTGCAGAAGACATGATGAGGGCCATGTATAAATATGTGAGGGGAAGTCATAGGGAGGAGGGAGCAGGCTTGTTTCCTGCTGCCCTGGAGACCAGGAAGTCGAACAATGGCTTCAAATTACAAGAAAGGAGATTTCATCTGGACATTAGGAAGAACTTCCTGACTGTGAGAGCCGTTCAGCAGTGGAACTCTCTGCCCCGGAGTGTGGTGGA